CAATGACTGAGATTTTAAGTCTTCTATGCTTTTACACAGACAGCAAGGGCTTGACAGTCAGAATATTATTTATATACTGAGTGCTGGCTCTGCAGGTTGTGTTGTCTTCCCTATTATATAGACAAACAACTTCTCAAGCAGGAAATTGTGCATGTATTATTTTCCTTTCTCTTACTTTATGGTCAGGACAATAAAATGAATACACACAGCCAGTCACACGATAAAGTAATTGAAGGTCAGGTGGGATATGTGTCTTGTATACAGGATGAAGTTTTCCTTATTTTACTCTTGGTGTCATGCCCACAACAATAAGCAGCTTTAAAAATTGACAGATTTATCATCTTGACATGCAATTTTCTGGGTAACTTTTCCAAAGCTGTGGTTAAGCTATGAAGCTATTTCTATTTGGAAAAAGACTGATTATGATGATGCACAGATTTTTTTACTATATTCAATTTTTTTCCTGAGTTCTAACCTTGATCTGTGCAACTGAGGATATTAAATTCCTGGGGCTGATAATTATGCTCAGTGCTTGAGAACTGGAGAAAAAGTCATGGTGCTGTATTGATGGTGTTGAAAATACAGAGATTTAGTCAATCTTTGGAGCAATGAGTTGAAGCCATAAGCATGGAATGCTTTCTCTAGACAAAAACTATTATTTAAAAGTTGGTAACACATTGCATATGGAAAAAACTGCAGCAACATAAAACTATGGGCTATGAGGTAAATAGGACAAAGGTGTAAAATAAAGAACTTTCTAATCATAACCATGAAAATCCAAGCATTCAGGTTTAAAAATCAGTGGAGAAATCTGACGCATATATTATTTGCCTTATAAATTATTAAAGTTGAGTAATTATTTGAAACAGCTTTACAGGCAATCAGATATTTTATTCTTCAGAAAGACTATCATTTCAGGAGAGATTAAACTGATTGTGCATAGCCCAAAGTATTAAAGTCAGCACAGAGCAATTGTGGCAAGATTGCAACTCTTCTCAGGTCTGGAAGACCTCCAAAATCAGGATAGGGCATTTCACAATATAGTTTAGTGGTCATGGTGGAACTAGTTAAAAATTTTGACTTAATGATCTTGGATGTCTTTTCCAACCTTACTTATTCTATGATTCAATGAAGTGTTCAAGGCCAGGTTGAATGGGGATTCGAGCAACCTGGTCTAGTGAAAGGTGTCCCTATTCTTGGCAGGAGGGTTTGGAACAAGATGATCTTGAAAGTCCCTTTCAACCCAAACAATTCTGTGGTTATAAAGGGGAAACTGGATTTATGAAAAATAGTATGGATCAGCAAAATAAATTAATTTGCCATTGGGGGTGCTAGATGAAGCAGGTTCATATCATGCTGGCTAATTTTCAGTGATGCTTCAGGAAATGTTTTTTGTTCTGTGTTCTTCTTTTCTTGGGGACTGGAGTGGGTGAAGTGCTGTGAACTGAACCAAGATCCTGATGAAAGAGGAAAAGTGTTTAAACTTCTCACAATGACAAGAAGCCAAGGAGGACAGTTCAAACATAACAAGCTCCATAAACCAAATCAGTCGTGAGTTTGTACGGGGGCAGACTCCGAGTGCACCTATCCATTTCTCCTTTTCATCTTTCTGAAGGACAGAAGGTAAGGAAGGGGGATCCTATCTATCACTAAAAGTCAAGGTAAATTTTAGAAAGCACTATTCTGTGTGACGTCTTTGCAAGCCACAAAAAGCCTGTGGTATTCTTGTGCTGGATAGTCCTGACTTTCAAATAAAGTGTTAATACTGCCTTCCAATCTCTCAGGTTATGTCTTCAACTGAGTTTGAAATAAATTGCTCTGTGGATGAACAAAGGACTCAATTCTTCCGGGCTACCAGCCTAACACTCTTCTCAAGTACAGAAGTCAAATATAAAACAAAGAAATCAAACCTCTGCAAGATCTGATAAAGTGAGAGCTGAAATAGGAGATCCAGAGGACTGCAAGTATGAATGCAAGCAAAGTATCATTCTCATATGAGTAGTGCATCATGTCAACTGTATTACTGTTAAGATACAAGAAAGTAAGCAGGTAAGAATACTTTGAAAAGAATGAAACAAATTTCCTAATCAGAAAACCAATCTCCTTTTGTTGCTGTAGGTACAGAAGTTTTGATAAACAAATCAAGCTTTAAAATTATTTTGTATAAGATCAGAAGTATTTACTAGTCTAGGTAACTTCTTGTATCTGTACTTGTGCAATGTAGATATGGTTGTAATACAAGCCAGAGGAAAATCCAGCTATCCAAAAAAATACTAAGTTAGCTTTCTGAATATTATCAGTGGTAGTACAGGAAGAATAAAATCCTTCCACTGAGGAGTGCACAGTTCAAGTTAGAGAGTGTAGTGAATCAGGTTTGGTGTTAAATAACCTACTTTACTAACATGAAGCTCATTGTCTGATCCAATTGCAGCTCTTTTCAGTTCAGCCTGCAAAGGGCAGGACTACTGTGCTGCATTCTAGAGCCTGGCAGGCAGGCAGTGGACCTTCACCTTCTGCCTTCTATTTCTGATTCATCAGAAGACTGGTAAGGTTGTAGCTTACTCACTTGAATATGTAGACTGTAATTAATCTGCTAACCTTCAGAGACAAAGCAGAAATGATCTAATGCTGATGTATCTGTAAAAGTGTATAAGCAGCTTAAATTTAGAGCCCAAGGTTAATGTCCAGCAAACTGATGAAAAAACTGTCTATCCTTGAAAAGTAATTCACTTAAATGTTTTTAAGCTCTCAATCGCATCAACATCTGCCTTATTCAAATCTGATAAGAATGCTGGCATGTTCACTTAATTTAGTACAATAAAAACTAATCCTTTACTGATTTATAGTGAGAATAATTTAAAAATCTGACCTTTTGATATTGCAGACTTCTAGTCAAAAAGGAATTTACACTGACAGTGGATTCTCTTCTAAATGGTTCAAAAATATTGCAAAGAGCAAAAAGATGAAATAGCTTACCTGAATGTCATTTAGATCTTTATCTTTCCATTTATCTTTCCATTTCTTTTACTAAACCATGCTGAAATTCTCTTAAATTTTGGATAACTAGTTTGGCTGTTATTGCTTTTTGCCTGTATCAGCACCACTTGTCCTTGCTGTTAGTGTGACCATATTCTTTAGGCTTGACAACAACAGAACCAGTTCAACTCTGAGAATATAAAAATATGAGTTTAAATTAATCTCTTTAGGCAACCTATTTTATGCAACTAAGTTTAAATGTTGATTTTTTTTTTTTTTTCCTTCCTTTCAGGCCCAATTCAGGTATCAGTTGTTTGTTGGAGCTGTACTGGCTTCATATCACTCAAATTATATCAGAATCAGACCAATCAGCTTTTGAAAAGGACTCAGTGTTTGGTAAAATACATATTTGGTGGCATATTTTGGGAACATATAATTTCCTGGTGAATTCTGACCAACACAGCGTCCAGGGAAGTAATGGTTTGAGACTTGAGCTAAAAAGTCCCATCTTTCAGTTTTAGGGCTTTGTTACATATCAGTAAATATAACTTTCATAAATTAATTCTTCCTATTGTTCAGTTCATAAATATGGACCCAGGATTAATTTTAGTTCCCACATCCTTGTGTGCTTCACTGTGTGTCAGTGAGCATACAATGACTCTCCTCTTTATATAATGGTATTTTCAGCTAGAAAGCATAGGGTTTCTGAAAATTTTAACTCTTTAAGATACAGAGGCCAACTAGATCCTATAGATGAGAGGTAAAACATGAAAGGCTTGGGCTTCTTTCCTCTTAATAGAAAAGGAGTCTGAGCCAAAGTTTCATATGATTATTACTCATCCAGTAAATATAAAGTTAAAATTGAACATGCATCTACAGGAATGATCTTGTTTCTAAAGGGTCAAGACTGTGTTTTTCCTTCAGTTGTCAGTACTTCTGTAGTGGCATTCCCATTTTTGGTCTCAATGTGCCCTGCTGTGTCAGAGGCAGTGTTCAGCCCACAGTTTTCCCTAGGAAGTCCTCAAGTGTTTACACGTACCAGGATTGAAACACAGAGGTCTTAATATTTCTTGAAGATAAACTGGTTGAATGATAGGACTCCAGTTTCTGTGTTCTACTGCAAGAGTCATTAGCCACAATTATCCAAAGATAGCTTGAAACACTTTATCACAATTTTCATTACTACATGCTGTTTTCGTATGGGCTATTGTACATGGCAAATAGAGAAATTAATACTGAGTGTATAAACATTATTAGTTAGTTCCTAACAAAAACAAACAAACAAGCAACAAAACTGAATACCATCTTTATATTGAAAAAACTGTTTCACAGTTTGGCATATTCATCATTCTGTTTTCCTAATAGCAAGTCTAAGAGTGGTGAGTGACACTTATTAGGCCTTAGTATATAGGAATAGCTGACAGCTAATGGATAAAGGTAAATTACTCTGATTATGGCACTAGGCTATACAGACTAAAAAGATTTTTTTGAGATGTTTAGGGTGATTTTAAAAAATTAACATAGCAATTCAAGTTAATATGCTACACATATATCAAGATTTCTTTGGCATTTAATCATAAAGTTCTACTTTGAAAAGGTGTAATCATATATCATGGTACTGCTAATAATCACTAATAATCACTAACAATCAAGGACCATTTTAAAAGAACAAATTAAGCTGATGTGGTCTAGTGTAGTCACAAAAATTTATAGGGTTCTCATCAATTATAGATGCTTCCATTCAAAGGTATTATTTTATTCTGCAACTAGAATTCTGTGAGAAACATTTTCTCAGAGACTAGCATTTTAAAAAGATCTGATGTTTCTATGCAAATTTGTACATTTCTATTGCAGTAGGAAAAACATACCCTGCATCAGAGCTGAAATTTCTAGTTATTGCATACTGATATGCTATAGTTGGGTCCATTTTTTTTTCCTCACCTGATCTTAAGCTTTTAGCATGTTAGACAGAAGTCAAATATTTTTGTGGTCTGTGGAAGGTAGATGACACCTGTTCTCAATCACTAAAGGACGTTGAGATGTACACTGAAGTAAGCCTGTAGTGAAAATATAAAATTATCCAAATCAGTTTCTTATCTTGTAAAACGTAGTTGATTGTTCTCTTTTGTCCAAAAAAAGCTATGCTGGCAATGACATTTTCAATAAGACACCAGATATGCAGTATATTTAATGCATTTTTTCATTCCTTTATTTGTAATATAAAAAAATTATTTCCTCCCTTTTCTTAGATTCTTAATGCTAATATATTCTATTGAGATTTCCATTTGGAGATTGTATATAATTTTGTTATCTCACTACTCTATGGTGCCTACCTGACCACAGTAATCTCTGTCAAATTTAACTGAAAATTCAGCAATGTCCATACTAAGGATTACATGATAGAGTATTATAGCAACTGTAATTTCCTCAGAACTTAAAATATACAGCAGTAGGTTACTTTCTGAGAATACTTTGAAATTGTTATCTTTTCACTACAAAATTTGAATTACATACAGACACCCAGGTTATTGTTCCTTTTTTCTATCAGCTTTTTTGCAAAAAACCACATGATCTGTTATTTAGAGCCTAGCCTCAGGATGAACACCATTGTGACAGTGCATTAGCATTGGGGTAGAAAATATACATATCAAGGAAAATAAATCTAAATGGATTAAAAATAATAGAAAAAATGTGAACATTATATCTACATGATAAAGACATAATTCCCTTTTAATCCATGATTTTTATGTCCCTTCCATGAAATATCTATACTACATGTGCTGTCATGCTCGAATAGTCTGTAATATTTTTCAAGAGAGGTTTATCTAATCTAGTTGTATTTTTAGTGTCTCCATTTGTGCTTCTTCTATCCCTTAGAGAAGATAATAATAGGTATATCTGGGCCATGGTTCATCTCATCTGAAAAGAGACTTCTGAAATTTTATTGGAAGTACACTTTAAATATCATAATGTGCTTTCTTTTATTTTTATATTTTAAAAAAATAAAGGAATAAAAAACAAAAGTCCCCTCACACTGCCTGACTTGCAACGGGGACATCCATATTCTGTGAAGAGATGACATTTAAAGCATGTCAGGTAATGGATATAGTTTGGTCCAAACAGAACCATTTGACTGAGGGAAGCCGAACCTTCAATGAGGCTGAACAGAAGAATGTCTGAGAGAAAATCTAGCTGTAATTTCAAAAGCTCTCTTTTAGGTGTGTATTATCATATAATGTTGGATCACATGATTATAATGCAGTTTTCTGAAGGAACATGTACCACTATTGGGATGGAGACCATAATTGGTCTCCATAATTCCTAATTGTTAAATGCATTCTTTTAATTGTGCCACCTCAATCCTTTGCTCACTATAATTCTCATTCCTAGTTACTGTCAAGGGGGGCATTTTAATTAATACTTATTTCCATTCTAGAGGCATATGTAGAATAATAAGTTTGCAACATTTCCAGACACTCCAGATTAATTTTCCCTTCTTCTATTTGTTCTTTCATTGTTCTTATGGCTACTACAGTACTCAGTACTCAAATATGTCCTATCCTTCAAAAGTAATAGACAAAAACATAAGCTGTACATTAAAAAAAGAAACAAAACAGAAAAAAAACCCCACCAGCAACTCATGGAACACACTTTTACTAGAATTTGCAAATATTATAAATTTTGGAAAAGTTGTATGATGTGTGTAACATGCAAATTTAGAACAGCAACCTTGTCAGATAACAGGATAATAAATTGTCAGATAACAGGATAGTAAATGTGCTGGTCATCTATTTTTCCTTGAAAGAAGCAGTGAAATTCTCAACAGAATTATGATCAGTTTAATTAATTTAATTAGTTAAATTTAATTCTAATTATGTTTATAATTAAACTTCATGCATTGCTTATTGTAAATTCTGCTTTGTAAAATAAGTATCTGAATATATTTGCCTTTCATCCCTTTGAAGCAAGGCAAACATAGTTTTTACCAAAGTTTCTTCCTTCAAATACATCATTAATCTGACGAACAACCACTTATGTTCCCCATTAATTCAAGTTACCACATTTCCTATAGGTGAGAGTTCTCCTTTCCCTGAAAGAAATGCACAAGAGGTCAAATGCCTTAGCTTTAGTGAACTCCAAGGAACCTGTATTCTTTATTTTCCCTTGAATGATTTCTGAGCACTGTCAAAGCCCTCAAACAGAAAAAAGTTTAAATCTTCACCAAGACCCCTTGCCAGATCAATACCTACTTCCAAATTTTGTAAAACATCAGAAAAAGTTAGTTAGTTTCTGTAGGAAAGAGAATGAGAATTACTATCCAGTGTTATAAACCTTTTTAATTTCATTGTTTTTCTTGTTTAGGTACCTGTTGATAGAGATATTTCTGTTAGGAATGGAAGTGACTGAATATAAAATTCTGTTTGAGAGGTGATATTTCTTTTTGCCACTAAATTTTTTTAGTCAGCAATTTACAGAGAAAAAGCATAAAAAATATTTTCAATTTAATTATTGTAAATTAGTTTAAAAGCTTTTACTATACCCTACTTTGATAGTTTATCTAGGGTGGATTAAGGCAAAAAAGAAAAATGTGAAAAGTTAATTGTGAGATTGAAAGAGGGTATAAAACTACTATATTTATTTACATGCTTTATTTTTCTTATTGACATATAAAAAAGACAACTGATATTTGACCTTCACTAAGTGGTTCCTGGTAAAGCTGTGCACATTTTCAGAAGTATAATCTTCTCATTCTCATTTTGATCCAACACTCACCTGTTGTAGAGTAACTGTAGCTTAAGATGGCTACCAATTCTGTTATAATGTCTGGGTACTTTTGCAAAGTTTTCAACATTGCTTACTAAAACTGGTGAATTCTTTATGATCCAAAATCTTTGGGGAAAATAATTCAATTGTAGTTAAATCTCACTGAAGTTTTATTTTCATTCTTTCAGTGTACAGCTGTATTTTAATTGAGCTAAATATTCACAAAAAACAACTTAGACTGGCCTTATAAAGGCATATATTCATATTAAGAGTACTTCAAAAAATCTGTTTCATGGTCATGCTCCAGGGGTGAAGACTTTGCCCATCTTTAAAGGACATACGCAATGGCTTTGCATCAGCATGGTATAAGAAATGTTGCCTGCTTGCTGTCCACCCTAAAGAGAACACCAGATGGGAATGGGATAATGCTGGTGGTGGCAATGTATTGCCAGCAGGTCAGCCATGCCTTTTGCAGTCAGAGGCTGTTTTAGCAAGCTGTGTATCTAGTCTAGAAAGCTCCTTTCTCTGCAATAGGTGGGATGTGTAATTACCAGCAATTTGCTTATCACAATCTGTGGTAAGTGAAGCACTTTATGATTACATGATAATACATTTGCTTCTTTGTCTGATCTCCACCTGCTCAGAACAGGATGGTATAGATAAATTATTTTTATTCATGAATATTCTTAGGAGAGAGAGATATTGCTCACTGAACTAACTTTATTTTATTCCTGTAAAAAGGCTGCTATTCTTTCTCAGGGAAAATTTCAACCTCTTTTGGAAGTACTGCATAATAAAAGGAGCCACTAAAACTAGCAAACTCATAATGTTATTGTGCCATTGTATTTTCTCTTCATTTTAGGAGCCTCTTCAATAGAAACATAGAAAAGCAGTAACAGCTCAAATTCCAAAGTCTTCCTGTTTCTTCATATATATATCTGTATATCTATATCTATATATATATATAGATATATATATAAAGAGTTAATATAATATGTCCTAATGTGTCTACTGCACATAAGGGTTTTTCTTTTATTCCTACATGATTTCTCTAAAGAAAAATACCCAGTTTGCTTCTTTTAATATTTTTTCTGTCAAAGAACCCCAGACAATCCTTGATTCTGTACTGTAAGTGATATAATTACATCATTTAAAGTGATCTCTGCATTTAATTTAATTTAAATAAGGTCTTTCTGTCATGATCCCTACAGTTATTCTTGAACCTCAGATGGTTATTGTGCCAGCTGGGGCTGGTATAGATGGCATGTGACATGGCATGTGGCACATGGCATCAGTGCATCAGTACATCTGAGAACTCAGGGCAACGATCAGGTATGATCTGCTCCCTCTGCACTCCTCTAATGCCACTAATGGGGCTTTATAGGTGTCCTTTCCATTGGTGCATAGTTTTTCACAGTGTTTAATGAGATTAGGATGCTGTTTAAACTATATTGCCTGTGTTTGTGACATGGAGCAAATATTTACTTTCAACATATATTTCTGATAGAAGTTTTGGCTTAATATTGGTTCAGTATTTAGCAGCACTAAGCTGTTGAAATGGGTGCAGTTTTAAACTGTTTGTAATAACTAACTTAATGTAGTCATGTAGTTGCAAGAGGTGTTTGACACCATGTCAGGGTGGTAGTTGCTTATGCCTATCCATCTTATACCAGAAGCTAATTGGTTAATCACATTTAATGCTTGGACAGGTTGGAGATTGTTCCATGTAATGTAAAACAATTAAATATTTACATACAGTTAGCAATGCAATCAGATTCTCTACTGCAAGTTAGGAAGGGAGGAGGAAGGGAGAGGCAGAGAAAGAAGGTGAAAAGGTCAGCAGTGCAAATAGACCAGATGTGAGAGAAAAAACTTTTTTCCTGAGCAATCTTTGGGACAGCATTACATTTTCATATGAATCAAAATGCTTAGACAGTTCTTTAGAGTGGAATTTGTATAAGCAATGTTCTATTTGTACTATAACAGAATGTGTTAAAAGAATGATGTGGTGGCTAGACTAAAGAGGAGAAAGATAATCCTCTATACACTTTTTCTCTTACTAAAAAGGAATAGTTTAATTTTCTTTAGTGTCTAAGTCTATCTCTACATGATTACAGGTGTCCACAGACCTTTAAGACACTTGAATACTTTTTCTCTGCTGACACCTGATGAGAGTTTTGTAAAAGTTTACAAACCCTTTGATAAAACTGGCTCACTCTGTCATCTATGAGCCATTATATCAGTGGTAAGGGCTAACAAAAAGTATTGATTTCAACAACCTTAAGTAAAAAGC